TTTTTTTTTTTTTTTTTTTTTTGTTTTGATTTGTTTTTGCTTTCGTTTTTGTTCTTCTTCTTGTTTTTGTTTTTTGGTTTGGTGGTGTAATAGTTAAACTACCAAGGCAAGGCAGTTGGTGTTTTTATTAGATTATATATTATTGAGACTAATTGTCCCACGTTTTAAAAATACATGACATGAATTTATTTTTGTAAAAATTGACTTGACTTTGCTTCCAAGTGTGTTCTATAAACTATAATTTCCTAAAGAACTAACAATTTTGTCGATGACTTGAGAGTTTCTTTCTAAGTTTGGACCGGAAGAACTAACAAAATGTCTTTTTTTTATTTAATGCATAAAAGAAAAACGTGTGAAAACAAAAACTTGGAACTAGAAAAACGTTGATGAAGAAGTGTGACTATTTTTAAAAGTAGATAATTTAAGGGTGAAGAAACCAGAAGGAAGCAACACGAAAGTCAACGATTTGAAAATCAAATAAATTTGAATGAAAACGTACTTATGGAGAAGAGTTTGAAAATGGAAAAAGGACGAGAAACAATGCGTTCACACTTACGAGTGATTAAAGCGGCTGCAAAGTTGTGCCGCTGCCAACGACCATCCACACCAATTTTGCTTCTCCTTCTGCTCCTTTCCCAATAACATTCTTCTACTCTCTTTCTTTCCCATTTCAAACTTCTTTCAACTCTCCAACCGACTTTCTTTTTCGGGCTCAACTCTGCCGCTTTTGCAGCTTCTTCTGGTGCAGATTTGTGGGTTACGTTGCTATGCAGCTTGTTTCCCACCATTTCTTGCTACTGGTATGCTTCTCTTTCCTTATCTATCTCGTTTCTGGTTTCACCTCCGATGGGTTGGCTTTATTGTCACTCCAAACCCGCTGGACTACCGACACCCCTTTTGTGCCTGCTTGGAATGCTTCTCATTCCACTCCCTGTTCTTGGGGTGGGATTCAATGCGATAAAAACCTTCGTGTCATCACCTTGAATCTCTCTTCCTATGGGGTTTCAGGTCAGATTGGGCCCGAAATTGGGAATTTGACCCACTTGCGTACCATTGATTTGATGTCCAACACTTTTTCTGGTGCAATTCCTTATGAGATAGGTAAGTGTAGCCATTTAGAGTTCTTGGATCTCTCCCTTAACCAATTTGGGGGACAAATTCCTCATTCCTTAACAAGCCTTACCAACCTCACGTTTTTGAACCTCCATTCCAATGTTCTAACAGGTGCAATACCCGACTCCTTATTTCAAATCCTGAATTTGCAGTATGTGTATCTTAGTGAAAATAGTCTCAACGGTTCTATTCCTTCCAATGTGGGGAATTTGAAGCAGCTGTTGCATTTGTATTTGTATGGAAATCAGTTGTCTGGAGCCATACCTTCTTCCATAGGGAATTGTAGCCAATTACAGGATCTTTACTTGAACCAGAACCAGTTGGTGGGAGTGTTGCCCAATACTCTTAACCATCTTCATAATCTTGTGAATTTGGGTGTCAGCCACAACAATCTTGAGGGTCCAATTCCTTTGGGTTCCGGCAATTGCCAGAGTTTAGAATATATAGATTTGTCATTCAATGGTTATAGTGGAGGTATACCTGCTGGGCTGGGCAACTGTAGTGGCCTAACAACCTTGCTCATTGTAAATTCCAGCCTAACAGGTCATATTCCGTCCTCCATCGGTCGGTTAAGTAATCTTACGACTATCGATCTCTCTAAAAATCAACTATCAGGGAATATACCTTCCGAGTTTGGGGATTGCAAATCCTTGAAAGAACTGGATTTGTACGTCAACCAACTCGAGGGACGTATCCCGAAGGAATTGGGTTTGCTACATGGATTAGAGGTCCTTCAATTGTTTTCAAATAGCTTGACTGGTGAGATTCCAATTAGCATCTGGAAGATTGCAAGTCTCCAGCATATTATTGTGTACAACAACAACCTTTCTGGGGAACTGCCCTTGATAATAACTGAGCTCAAGCACCTCAGAAATATATCTGTGTTTAACAACCAGTTTTCTGGAGTTATACCTCAAAGTCTGGGGCTCAACAGTAGTTTAGTGCAGGTGGAGTTCACTAATAACCAGTTCGTTGGTCAAATTCCACCTAATTTATGCTCGGGAAAGACATTACGCGTGTTGAATTTAGGTTTGAATCAATTTCAAGGTAGCGTACCTTCAGATATTGGAACGTGTTCGACTCTTCAGAGGTTGATTTTGAGAAGGAATAATCTAATAGGGACCCTGCCAGAATTTAAGAGAAATCACGGCCTTCGGTTCGTGGATGCCAGTGAAAACAACCTGAATGGAACAATTCCCTCAAGTTTGGGAAATTGCATCAATCTCACCTCGATTAATTTGTCAAGCAACAAGCTTACAGGTCGTATACCTGATGAGTTGGGATATCTTGTGAACCTTCAAAGTTTGAGCTTGTCTCACAACATCTTGGATGGACCTTTACCATCTTCTCTGTCAAATTGTACCAAACTGGATAAGTTTGACGTAGGATTCAATTTATTGAACGGTTCTGTACCTCGTAGTTTAGCCAGCTGGAAAGTTATATCCACGTTGATATTAAAAGAGAATCGATTTACTGGAGGCATCCCGAACGTATTGTCAGAACTTGACAGCCTTTCACTGCTAGACCTTGGTGGCAATTTGTTTGGAGGTGAAATCCCTTCATCTCTTGGAGCATTGAAGAATCTGTTTTATTCCTTGAATCTCAGTAACAATGGGTTAACTGGTCAACTACCTTCTGAGCTAGCTAGTCTGGTGAAGCTTGGGGAGTTAGATATATCTCACAATAATTTGACTGGAAGCTTAAGCGTTCTTGGCGAACTAAGTTCATCCTTACTTGAGCTTAACATTTCTGATAATTTATTCACGGGTCCTGTGCCACCGACATTAATGAAGTTGCTGAATTCTGATCCCTCATTGTTCTCCGGTAACCCTGGGCTGTGCATCAGCTGTGATGAACTAGATGGCTTAAGTTGCAGCAGAACAAGCAGTATCAAACCTTGTGCTAGCCGTTCAAGCTCTCGTCTTAGCAATATACAAATTGCAATGATAGCTCTCGGAAGTTCGATCTTTATTGTTCTTTTGCTTCTCGGATTGGTTTATAAGTTTGTTTACAGAAGAAGAAACAAACAAAACATTGAGACCTCTGTTCAAGTGGGAGAAACTTCCTTGCTCAACAAGGTGATGGAGGCTACTGATAATCTAGACGAGCGGTTCGTCATCGGGAGAGGAGCACATGGCGTTGTTTATAAGGCTTCCCTAGATTCAAATAGAACTTTTGCTGTAAAGAAGCTTACATTTGTAGGATGTAAAGGGGGAAGGCAGAACATGGTTAAAGAAATTCGAACTGTTGGCAACATTAGGCATCGGAACTTGATCACTTTGGAAGACTTTTGGTTGGGAAAAGACCATGGTCTATTGCTTTACAGATACCAGCCGAATGGAAGCCTTTATGATGTGCTGCATGGGATGAATCCATCTCCAGCTCTAACATGGAAAGTCCGGTATAATATAGCCACTGGTATTGCTCATGGATTGGCGTATCTTCATTACGATTGCGATCCTCCTATAATACACCGAGACATCAAACCGCAGAATATACTTCTAGATTCAGAGATGGAACCTCGTATCGCTGATTTCGGTCTTGCAAAGCTGCTGGATCAGACCTCTGCATCGACGACTTCTTCTTCTTTTGCGGGTACAATTGGCTACATTGCACCAGGTATCATTCTACACATAAATTTTGAATTAGCTCTGGATGCTCGTGTTTTTTCTTTTTCCCGCTGAAGGATTGAATTGTGTTTTGGGGTTGTGACAGAGAATGCATTTTCAGCAGCAAAGAGCAAAGCTTCAGATGTGTACAGTTATGGGGTGGTTTTACTTGAGCTGATAACGGGAAAGAAGCCATCAGATGCATCATTTACGGAGTTCGGGAGTATCATGGCTTGGGTTCGGTCGATATGGAACGAGACGGAGGAAATAGATAGAATTGTTGATCCAAGGCTGGTGGAAGAAGTTGTAAACTCTGATGAGAAGGAGCAGATTAAGCAGTTGCTTATGGTGGTTTTGAGATGCACAGAAAGGGAGGCTAACAAGAGGCCAACAATGAGAGATGTAGTGAACCACTTGATTGATTCAAACACAAGTCATGTCAGGAAATATGACTAACCTTATTGTCTCTTCAAAGCCACTGTACTATTGAGACTCCCTTTGTCCCTGTTTGGAATGCCTCTGATTCCACTCCCTGCTGTTGGGCTGGGATTCATTGTGATCAAAACCTTGAATCTCTCTTCCTATGGGGTTTCAGGTCACCTTGGACGCGAAATTGCTTTGACCACCAACGAATTCTCTGGTGCAATTTCTTCTGGGCTACGCAACTGTAGCCATTTAGAGTACTTGGATCTCTCCCTCAACCAATTAGGTGGAGAAATTCAATCGTTGATGTCCCTTAGGAACTTACACGTTTTTGAACTTCGATGCAAATGGTGTAACTGGCGCAGTTCCCGATTCGTTACTTCAAATATTAATAAAATGATATGAATAAATGTTGACTCATATATCATATACTATTAATACACTTACAAGTACTAATAGACAATATGCTGTTTTGATGTCTAATAACTTTTGATATAATCTCCAATATTGATGAGACTAACAAGTTCTTCCAAAATTCAAACGTCAAAATCTTCTAGTTTTTTACACACAAGATACGGATTTTCAAATTGGGGAATGCCAAAATCTCAATATGGAGGAGACTGGAGCGTATACACACACAAACCTAATCATCAAAATTAGAGTAAAATGGAAATAAAAGAGTAATAATAATCAGATTAAGAAAGTGCAAAATTTCATAAAATGATCTGCAAATATTAAGCCAAAATTAGCTACCCGTTACAACTATAGTTAATCTTTCATAGAGCCCCTATGGCTTGATGAACAAACATTTAAATCATATAAAAAGGTCAACAAAATATTTATAACTATAGAAAGTACTCTTGTAAGTACACAATAACTACAAAAAAGAGGACGAAAAAGGGAATAAAGAATAAGACAGCATGGAATTGCCACTTGTTTGTGGAAGCTAACATATAACAACAGATCCCTCTTTCTAGAAAGAGCAAGATATCTCAAAGGTCTAAACAAAAATGAACGGTAAAAATAAAATAAAATGGCAACGAGTCCGAATGGCCGCAAAGCGAAGGAGGGCAGGCAATACAGCGACAGGTTGAAGCAAAATCTTAATAGTAAAAACCTCCAAATATTATTCATCAAATTTGAATGTTCATGAGCCTCCCTTCTGTTTCAAAGTGATCTTATCCCCGAGACTGAGAGCAATACCTTGAGTCTTGCTTCTTATTCTGATGTACCCACTCAACTTCTTATCTGCTTGCTTTTCAATGCTCACATTCACCAAAGCATCTTCTCCAAAAACACTCTTTGCATAAAGGTTAGCAGCAAGAAAACCACATTCGCCTTCCAATGCCGATCTGATGCAAAAAACAAAAGAGGAGAAAGAATTAAATACAAGTAGTGTGAGTTGGTGGTTATACCCAACAAAAAGCTTTTTAAAGAACCCTTGAATATGACATGGAAATTTCTATCCCTTAGCTTTCTCATCACCTTTGCACACCATGAAATATTTTCACAATTCATATAAAATGGTTAGTAGCACAAGCAAGGAGCGGTTCTCATTATAAACAATATTTATGGAATGGAAAAAATCAGGTAGTTCACATTTGAGACAGCTGATACCAACGGGTAGTTGCAACAGAGCAAGTCCCAGCAGAAAGAATTTTAAGTTAAGAGAACATCGCAGTAGCCGGAGATGGCGGAATATAATATGAACATCTAAACCGTTCTACAGTGCAGGTGTCCTATCCACATAAGCATAAAGCAACCAAAGGTAAGAGAGAGGGTACTAGATTAAAGGATCTTACATTGGTGTCAGGCACTTCATATTAGTCGACTTCATAATGTGATTTAAAAATTCCTTCTCATCTTGAATTATTGTATTCACAGCAACCTGCAGTCGACAAAACCCATAATCAAATTTTAGCGTAAGATCAATAACTTTAATACCTTGAAATAGGAAAAGGAAAGTTCACATTAAAAATTGTATATCTATGAAGCTAATAAGCAGTCCTATCTCTGCTGCACAAGCAAGGGTCAATGCCAATAAATATCCTTGATAGATAACACAAAGTCCAAAACCTTTCAAACATACTCATCAAAACGGAAAACAATACCAAAAGTAGGGAAGGCAACTTCCATGCAAGGCATTCTCAAGACATCAAAACAAGCCAATCCAAATCAAAAGTTTGGAAAAGTAATCTGATCATAGACAACATCCCGAAGTGCATGAATCCAGACCTTAACCACTCGATGTAATGAAACCTTTTTTTTTTTTTCAAGGTGCAAATTTAATAATGTATAAGGGCTTGCTGAGCTATCCTCTCCCATCGAAGAACTCAGACTACATCCATTGTCAATGTCAAGACGGCCTATATTCAGTTCAGAAAATTTGAACATTGAACTCTCTATTATATTCTTTCACCAAGCCCTGGTTGGTCATCAACGGCAAGTACAAATATAATTGTGGTAGCTTTAAGGCGAATGCAACCAAATAATATAGAGTACGTACCTTGTTTTCCCACTCAAATTCAGCCCACATTGCTCTAAATGCCACATCAGTACAGGATGCTGGAGAAATGTAATCCATGATATCTATGTGGATATCATTAAGAACGATGACAGTTCTCTCGAGCACATTAGAAGAAGTCTCATATACAATGTTACCAAATATGACTCCTGTTTCAGTAGAAGAAACCTTGATGTTAGCCTTTATTTGTTTGCTCAACTCCGGAGCAAGTGTATAGTTTTGAGGGCGTTCAACAAGTTTGAGGTCACCCATAGTGGCCAACTCTAGGCACAAATTCTGAAGAGTCTCTTTGGTTCTGTTAATAACTGTAACATCAAGAACAATGTCATAATGATGAACAGTGACATAAGCTTCTGCATAAACAGGGTCACTGAATCCAGTTAGTTGAAGAATGCGATTGAGTTTGTTTGCATCATCCCCATCCTTTGTAAACTCTCCAGTAGCACGTTTGAGATCATCTTGGACCTCATCTTCCAGTTCTAGCTGACTCATGCCCTGAAAAATGTTCACAGAATTAATGAAAAACAAGAAGCCAAGTAAATTGTTGATTTAGAATATGAGAACTTGAAAACTCCAGTATAATGTGCACAGGAATTGGAACTTGACACCATCAGAAATCTGGAAAAGATCATTCCAGAGCCCTTACGAATAAGATTATTCCACAAGGAACTCAAAGAAACAGGTATTGACATCGTATACCAATACTTAAAATACTTTTAAAAAATATATGGAATCCAACTTCATTCAAGCTCAATTCCAAGTTGGACTGAAATATGCTAATATCAATAACATTAAGACAAAACCTAATATCTTACATTACTACTTTTAGAGGAAAAAGGAGGAGCTTAATAATGACATGGAAGTAGTAACCTTCTATCAGAAGTAGCCCCCAACACGAGATATCTTCATCCAAAGAAAATTGAGATCAACCAGATTAAAAATTATTCTATTAACCTCTACAAACCATGATACAGAAAAATAGAAAAATCAAACCTAATAGTAATCTAAGAACCATACAGGAGACAGCAGGTGAAATGTTCATTACCTTCCTGCTTTTTAAGTGGTAAAAATCAATTAGATCATCTGGCTGGGCATGAGATATCTGTGCCCTGGCTTTTATCTCTTCAGTTTCATGGCGCTGCTTTTCAGCCAGCATTTTCACAAAGCTTTGTCTGCAGGATTGCAACCATATCTTCCTCACGTCATCGCCAGTATTGCTTAGCAATCTAATACAAAGGATAATCCGATCACGTGAATCATTATCAATTGGATGAGGAAGAAACGAAGATTCACCCAGTTGCAACAGAGAAACCATAATCAATAATGCCTGAGTAAGAGTTCTGTTCACTTCGACTTTGGAAGCCTGAACCTCTTCTAGCCTCAAAACAAGCTTTGTAAGTGTGCAAGCCACAACTGCCCCAAGGAAAAAGTCGCCAGAAAGAATCAAGGATCTCAAATTTCCAATAGAGGATAGGGATCCTTGAACAAGGGTAGGCGGGGACATTGCAGTCTCAAGTGCAGCACTTTGGGTAGCATAGGTTCCATCTGCAAGAATGGCAGGCCTTCTAGAGGATACCGTGGTTGAGCTTACCTGTTGAGAACTTTTTGAAGACTCTTGTGCCTCTCCTTCCTCTGAAGCTGTGTAGAAAGGAAGGTCACCAAGACAGCTTTTTATGCTAGAGATTCCACTCTCAACTTCAGAGAGCGAGAGACAGTACTCTCCAATGATCCAAAGCGCACAAGAGCACACTCTTGCCGCACGTATCTGGTAGAATGTGTCCAATAGTCTCGTAATGATAGAAACTCGCAATTTGGGATTTGTCTCAATGATCTCACGTACAAAAACGACAACATCCATTGCAGAAGCAACGTTGGTATCACTCAAGAAATCCATCAAGAGATGTACCACTGTGCTGGCGACCTCAGGGAACTTTATTGCACAGGTATGTATAGCCTGCACCAGCATTTGCCTATATTCCCCATTCTTCTCATGCTCTCCACTTTGAGTCTTCACCACCTCCTTCTTCAGCAACATAACGACTTCATCAATATTCCTAGGAGTAATCAATTCAAGGGCAATATCGATAGTTTTCCTCCTAATATCAAGATTTGGGCTGGAAAGTGCTCGAAGCACATCCATTACTAGTTCGACCATGATCTCCCTATGAGATATCTTAAGCTCATTAAGCCTATCGAGAACAATAAGCTTTACGTTATTATCACTTTGGGAGAGTAAAAGCTGGCAGTAAGTATTTGCAGCGGCTCTAATAGCCGTGGGAGCGGAGGAAAGAGATACAAGAGTTCCAGCGCACTCATAAATGACGGCAGTTGACGGAGAATTCAACAAAGATATAATGATCTTAATATATTTGCCTTTCTCAGCCTTATTGGCCCGGCAAACCTTCTTGATTAATTCTAAGACAACCATCTGAAGCTGCTCCCCCCAATCAGTCATCCTATCGATGTTAGTAAAGAGGTAATTGATGGCCCTTTCTTGGGCACAATTGAAGAGCATAAGAAAAGCATTTCTCTTACTTGAATTATCTTGCTCGGAGGTCAAGAACTTCTCGATGATCTCAGGTGCACTATCCAGTAATTGCTCCCCTTGAGGAAGCTTGTAAACAGACATGACCGCAAGCACCGCATTCCGCCGAACGAAGGGGTGGCGATGCTCCAAATTGGTGAGAATGGAAGGGATCAGTGGCTCAATGATCTCGGTCTCATTCAGACGGCAGAGAAATCGCAGGGTGACGCCACGAATATACTCGTTGGGATGCTGAAGATTGTTACGGAGGTTCTGGCAAATAAGAATCATCTCCGGCAGAACTTTACCGCGGGTATCAGTCTTGTCGATGATCTCCAAATACAAAAGGAGGAGCTTCTGGACGGTGTGGTCATCAGAGGGAAGCACGTAGCGTATAATTGTGATGAAAAGCTGAGGAATGGTTTCCCCATTAAGCAAAAGCATAATAGCTTTTTTCAATGCTTCAATCTTGGATTCAATGTCATTCCCTTCCAAAGCTTCCTTGATCTCATTCGCCATGGCTGGGGTGCCCTTGTCGAAGTGCACCAACAGAGTGCACGACTTCTCCATATCTGCTGTTCTCTTTGTTTGAGATCTCAAAGAAAATGAAATTAAGGGAACAGAATTGAGACGAAACAGAGATTGAATTCAGAAAATTCAAAGATCTAGGCTGAAACAGAGAGCAGGAATGGAAGAAACTACCTGATTTGCTTGGTGAAGGAAATTAGATCTCGAGAAGTTTGGTGCGTTAGGCTGATGTGAGGAACTCTCTACCTGTAAGAGGGAATGCAGATCTGGTCGTTTCAGGGACTAAGCAGTACCTGTAAAACAAACGAGAGTTGGAACAAATAATAATCGGGGAGATGAGAGAAACGCATGCTTCTTCCTGGAGCCTGGGCCCATTCAAGTAATAATGTGTCTATTAGGCCCATTCAGAAGGAACTTACTGAGCCCAAATTCCATAAAGGCCCGACCCATTGCATACGTATCCCATTAGTTCTTGGGCCAAAGTTCTTAAATGGGCCCAAACCCAGTTCTAATTTCGGAATTTTCCCCTTCTTCTTTTAGAAAATATAATAAATAATACTTAATTTTGAATTAGCTATGGAAAAAAAAATTATCAAATGTCACTTTCATTTTGAACTATTGTATATTATAATCTATTTTAGTCCTTCAATATGACCTATAGAATATATTTTTTGTCTTCTAAAGTTAATCAAATTTAAAAAGTTGTAAAATAAATATTTATATATATTCTGGACTTAAAAGTGAAAGATTTAGACTACAACTCACATTTAGTAAAATAAAATACTTACTCAAAATTTAAAAACATGAATATTAAGTGTTTATGAAAGCTACATATCCTCGGAGAACATATTTATTTGAAAGAGTAGAGATGGGGAGGAAGTCGAGGGTGGGCTACTGCCTGGAGAGGAAATTTCTTGGGAGTTGAAAGACCGAACACTTCTTCCAAGTTCAAGTCTTCCTTCTCCATGTCCCCGGGCAACTTCCAACAGAACCCGTGCAATAGATTGGCAAGACTCGACTGTATAACCTTGAGGCCAAGACTGTATCCAGGGCACATCCTCCTCCCGGACCCAAATGGCAACAGCTCGAAGTCCTGCCCTTTCACCTCCACGCTGCTTCCCACGAACCTCTCCGGGTCAAAAGCATGTGCGTTTTTCCACACCTCCGAGTCCCTCCCAATCGTCCACACGTTCACAAGCACCCTCGTCCCTTTCACTATGTCATACCCTGCAATCCGGCAGTCCTCCCGACACATTCTCGGCACTAGCATTGGCGCTACAGGGTGCAGCCTCATCGTCTCTTTCGCAATTGCGTTTATGTAAGGCAAATTAACCATGTCCCTCTCCTCCACCCATCTTCCCCTCCCGATCACTCTATCAAGCTCCTCCCTTGCCTTGCCGAAGATCTCTGGGTTTTTCAAGAGCTCCGACATTGCCCACTCCACTGTCACTGCCGAGCTCTCTGTTCCACCTGCTATAAGATCCTGCGTAAATGCCTTCACTCCATGCCTTTCAAGCTTCACTTCAAGATTGGGATCATCAGCCAATTGCAACAAAACATCCACCATATCCTTCGCCACATAACCCTCCACTCCCTTTCTTCTTTCATTATGTTCATCCAGCACATGCTCAAGAAATCTGTCGAATTTCTTGCTCAGTGCCTTCATTCTCTTCACATACCCCTGCAAATCCAAGAAATCAATCCATGGTATCGAGTCCCCAATGTTGAGCACGCCACTCAGCAAGAACAGCTCGTCCAACATTTTCTTGAACTCATCTGGACTAACAATCCCATTTTCTGACTCCTCTGTGTACTTCTTCCCCAACACCATTCGACTTATCACGTTCAAACTCAGAGTAGACAAGTAGTCTTTGAGTTGGATTCCTTCGCCGCAAGATTTGTATATTTCTTTAATCAAACCCTTCATTTCTTCCCTACGGATATACTCATAGGAATCGAGTCTTCTCGCACTGAAAAGCTCCAACAAACACATCTTCCGAGCTTGACGCCAATAAGGGCCATATTGAGACCAAGTGATGTCGGAGTAGTTATAGGTGGTGTACTTTCCAGCGGCGGTTTTGGGGCGGGACACGAAGTTAAGATCATGGGTTTTGAGGAAAATCTTAGCCATCTCGACGGAGGAGCCAACAACCACAGGGAATGAGCCGAAACGAAGCTGCATGATGGGGCCGTATTTCTTGGAGAGTTGGTGAATGGACTGGTGCGGCAGAGAACCAATCAAGTGGAGATTTCCGATGAAGGGCCAAGGCTTGGGTCCCGGCGGTGGATTGAGATTTGGACGGCGGAGGCGGCGGGAGAGGAGGAGGATGGCAAGAGTGGCCATCCATGCTGCTGCGTAAAAAACCCAAGAAGGAATTTGAATGTCCATGGCGATTAGAAACAGAGAAGGAAGTGTAGATGAGGGAGAGATGTTTGGTGGTGATGGTGGAAGGCAGTGATGTTGGAAAGGCTATAAATAGGCATGGAAATTGGGTAGAAAAGAAGTAGGGATGTGTGTAAATTGTTGAGTAGTTGCATGTAAATGGAAACCTAACTAATTAATTTCTATGAACTTTCAGCTGAAATTCTTGTGAAACACGACCAATGGACATGGATTTGCAGTAATTTCCATTGGACATTGTCGGGTTGGTAGGCACTTGCAAAATTTCAATTGAAAAAAAGTCCAATTCAATATAATTATATTATCCCATTAATTTCTTGGAACTGGGCAGCTTAAAATCTTTAGGAACCACAAAACAGAGAGGACAAACCCAGGGGCCATGTCAGTGTGAAACTAGTCGGGTGGTTACGGTACCATAATTTCTCAGAAATTCTCACAACCAAAAGTAATGGTGGACCATACAATGAAAATTTCCATGAAATGCAAATACTAATATTTTTCTAATACTTTATTGGCTGTTGCACTTCCATACCCAATTCCTCAAATAAAATATATATATATTTAGAAAAGAAAAATTCTCCTGATACGAGAAAAACTAAATTTGTAAGATTTAATACCATGTATAATTGGAGTAGAATTTAGCTTACCATTCCATTATTGTTTTCCTCAACTCCTTTTAGAGCTAGGGTAAAAGATGGTTGAATTAGGGTTCAACCGCCATCCCACGAGCTAAGGAGACGATGGGCACGAGACTCACAAGGGGTCGACCATGGACTTGCCCAAGTCTCTTTTCTTCGCTCATTTTTCATTTTGATTTGGTCTATTATGATCTATTTTAGAATTTCTCTATCTTTTTGACTTGGTGTCATACTTCATTTTGATTAACTTAGGACCAAGATTATATTTTGGACACACCTTCCTTCTTTAACTAAAATGCTTTTATTTCAACCAACATTTCTTCGTTATAACACCCATATAGATGACTTGATTTAAAAATGTTCGTTTTCTTTGAATTTTACAAACAAACTCAATTAGGGTAAAATAGATGGTAGAGGATTATCAAGAACCCTCTAAATGATAATTTTCTCATTTCTAGTTGAAATAGTAATTTTCCGCCCTATTCGAGTTGGGCATCTCTAAGTCGATGAAAAAATTAGACATAAGTGAGAGGCAACTCGAGAATATAAATATACGTCTTTGTCAGCTCACTCCAATAAACTTCAAACCAAATTATTATAACATAACATTCAAATTCATATTTGAAATTACACCACCAACTCAGTCCATCAGACAGAGTAAAGATGAGGCGGAAGGCGAGGTTGTGCTATAGCCTGGAGTGGAAATTTCTTGGGAGTTGTGAGGCCAAACACTTCCTCCATGTTCAAATCTCCACCCAATTCCCACGTAAATCCATGCACCAGATTGGCTAGAGTCGACATCACAACCTTTAGACCGAGACTATACCCAGGGCACATCCTCCTTCCAGACCCAAACGGCAGAAGCTCGAAGTCCTGGCCTTTCACGTCTATGTCCTTCCCCACGAACCTCCCTGGATTAAACTCATCTGGGTTCTCCCACACTGTAGGGTCTCTCCCAATGGTCCACACATTCACGAGCACCCTGGTGCCTTTGGGTATGTCGTAGCCTGCAATTTGGCAGTCCTCATTACTCAATCTGGGCACCAACATTGGCACCACAGGATGCAGCCTCATCGTCTCTTTTGCTATCGCATCCATGTATTCCAAATTCACAATGTCTTTCTCTTCTACCCATCTTTCCCTTCCAATCACTCTGTCAAGCTCCTCTGTTGCCTTCTCCAAAATCTCTGGACTTTTCAAAAGCTCTGACATTGCCCATTCCACGGTCACTGTTGAGGTATCAGTTGCACCTGCTATAAGATCCTGAAAGTATTTCAAACTAAGTTTGAGTTAGTAACTTATTTTATTCCGTTTATCAAGTAACCATTCTCTTATAGTTACCCCATAAATACTTATTTATTAACAGAATTCACCTGAGTTAATGCCTTCACTCCATGCCTTCCAAGTTTGACTTCAAGATTAGGATCCTCATCTAATTGCAACAAAACATCCACCATATCTTGTGCCACATAATCCTCCACTCCCTGCCTCCTTTCATCATGCTGATCCAACACATGTTCAAGAAACCTATCAAATTTCTTACTTATTGCCTTCATCCTCTTCACATACCCCTGCACATCCAAGAAATCAATCCAGGGTATTAAATCCCCAATGTTTAGCACACCACTCAGCAAGAACAACTCATCCATCATTTCCATGAACTCGTCTGGACTAACGATGCCATTCTCCGACTCGTCCGTGTACTTCTTCCCCAACACCATCCGACTAATCACATTCAAACTCAGAGTAAACAAGTACAATTTAAGCTTAACGGGGTTTCCAGAAGAATTGTATATTTGTTTAAGCAGCCCATTCCTTTCTTCCCGTCGGATATACTCGTAAGAATCAAGTCGCTTGGCACTGAAAAGCTCCAACAACCATATCTTCCGAGCCTGACGCCAGTAAGGCCCATACTGAGACCAAGTTATGTTGGAATAATTATAAGTCATGTACTTTCCAACCGCGGTTTTGGGGCGGTACACGAAGTTAAGATCATGGGATTTGAGGAAAAGCTTAGCCATCTGGACGGAGGATCCAACAACCACGGGGAATGAGCCGAAACGAAGCTGCATGATGGGGCCGTATTTCTTGGAGAGTCGGTGAATGGATTGGTGCGGCAGAGAACCCATCAAGTGGAGATTTCCGATGACGGGCCAAGGCTTGGGTCCCGGCGGGAGATTTGGACGGCGGAGACGGCGGGAGAGGAGGAGGAGGAGGAGGAGGAGGAGGAGGATGGCGAGAGTGGGCATCCCTGCTGGTGCGTGAGAAAGCCAGGAAGAAACATCCATTGGGCGATTTGATGATGGTGGTGAGGCAATGGAAGGGGTATTAGTAAGCATGGATATCCCAATTGTGTGAATAAATTGAGTGGCTGCAACTTATCTGGGCGTCGTCAAATATTTTTCCAAACATACAGTGAGAAAATGTGAGGAAGAATTTTAAAACTTAAAAACAAAAGAAACGTGGTGGGTGGGATGCTCCCGTGACTGGGACTGTCTAACAATGACGCCTCACCTGACTGTACTCTCAGCCTACACCAAAAATGAATCTTGGAGAAGCCTACGTAAATAATTGCCATTTTATTTTTGTCGTTATCTCTCGATCTTCTGGAAGGCGTAATTTAGAACGTTGAATGTCCATGGAGCCCCTGCTCGCCACTAAAATTACCGCCCTCTACTAATTTTTATTAGTTAATTAATGACTCGTTTCATAAATTTTTTCTAATAAAAATTTACCCAGCACCCTTGAGATGTTGCTAGTTTATTATTATTATTATTATTTTTAAGTCCGCATTAAAATATATTTTATTATTAAAATTCTAACTATTTTATAATAGAGTATTAGAAATCAAACTTTTTTTCCCCCTAAAAAAACGAAACATTAGAAAAGAATTTTAGGAGGGAACATCCAAAAGAGGAAGAAAATAATATTTTATGAGGGAAAATTTTAAAAAACAAAAAAGTACAATAGCCAATAGCCAATAGCATCCACACACACACACACGCACACAATCAACTTTAGATTTAGACAAATTGTTTTGTAATATTCTACTTTATACTTACCCCACTACAATAATTATTTTTAAAACAGTTTATTAAAATAATCAACTCTCACTTACATAAGAGACTTATCTGCTTTTTGTAATTAACCATATTTGTTATCTAATAATAAAGTTTTAAAATTTATTAGATATTTTTTTAAAAGTTTAAGACTTCCTTATAATTTATTACACATTTTTTTGAACTGATTTAACAATCTTAACTACAATACAGTTGGAGTTATTTATAGAAAGATCCAAAGGGTAATATGGTACTTTCATGTTTTCGATTTCCAGGACGCCGAGCAATTTTGAGAGCTCAGAGATTGCTCGAAAATCACAGAACCAATTCTCTCCTGCTGCTGCTGCTCACTTTCTTGTCCATGGTATGTACTTTCTCCTCAATTAGGGTTCTTATGGATTCCTATCATAGATTTCTTCCATTTCATCTTTTCCTCTTCCTTTTTCCCTTCAATTTTGACGAATTTGAAACTACTGTACTGCGATTTCATATTCTCCCCTACTTCCTCTTGGTTTGTGATTTGATTGAAATTTGGTTCTGTTGCCTTCTTTTCTGACGTTTTCTGCTGAATTTGCGTCAATTTTATGCTTTCTGCCACGTTCCTTTGGTTGCGTACAGAGAAAGCTTGGTGTATCTCACATCCTTTGAAAAGGGACGAATTCGCCTGCTCTGCTTTACCATTGCTTCTTTTTCTTACTGGAACTTTTGTTGGTTCCTTGAGATAATTGGTGGGATTTCGAGTGAAAAACACCATGGCTGTGCCAACTATTGCTCTGTATACCAGTTCACCCAGTACTATCTGCTCCTCCCCGCACCCTTGCCAGTTGAATTCTCATGCATCATATGATTTAGAATTTACTTCACGGTCCTCCTCCTTGGCGTCTACCACAGCGACTTCATCCCCAAATCCGGTAGTAGGCGGGTTGTCAAGTCTATTCTCATCAACTGCACCAAGGCACTCGTTGTTGTCGTCGAGCATTTCAAGTGGTGGAGATGAATTAGGTTCTTTTAGGCATGATAAAGGGGAGGAACTTAAAGAATTAAGCTCCTCGTTTCGTTATTCCCCAAGTAAATTCATTGGGTCATTCTTTAATCGGGATCAGAGCCCGGTATCGGTGTTCCAAGGTCCAGTTTCCTGTGGTTGTTGTGGGGTTGGGTCGGCAGCAAGAACCCCTCCATTGCGGACTGTATGGGAAAGGAGTGGGGAAGCAAGTTTTCATGGTCGAGGAAGTACTAACAGGCTGTTCAATGGGTTTGTGAGAAATGCATTGGGATCATGTGTGGACTATGATTCGCCGAGATTGGAGGTACCTAGTGATGTGTTAGATGTGGGTTCATCTACTTTGTTTGGAGATGAATTGACTTTCAATATGGAGGACAATATTACGGAAGGTAAATCTGAATCATATGCGAAGGATTTGCTTGTAAGTGCACAATCAAAGCACAAAATCTTTTGTGATGAGTCTGTGATCAAGGCTTTTTTTGAGGCCGAGAAAGCACATAGAGGACAGGTAATGCTGCTACCTTTCAATATTGACAGTGTTGTTATTGCCTTGAGTACTGATGATATTCATTAAGAAATACCCCTTTTTGGTGTTTTTCATTTTTCCTTAGACGCGTTTAAGTGGTGATCCGTACCTGGAACATTGTGTGGAAACAGCAGTGATGCTTGCACTTGTTGGTGCTAATTCCACAGTAGTTGCTGCAGGGCTTTTGCACGACACACTTGATGATTCTTTTGTGAGTCATGACTACATATTGGGGACATTTGGAGTTGAGGTTGCTGATTTAGTTGAAGGGGTAAGATACTGTGCCGCTCACACTTTCTTTGTCATTGGAATATTGTGAACCTAATGCATAACGGCAAGGCTTATTCTATTTTCTTGTGAGGAAGAAAATTGCAAATCTCTCGCTCATGCTATAAGTCTTTTATTGAATGACGAGGAATGAGTTCCTAATCTCTCGCTCTGTGTTATTTTTCCTAAATTTTGTTTTAGGTGTCTAAGCTAAGTCATTTAAGCAAGCTTGCTAGAGAACATGATATGGCCGATCGAATGGTTGAGGCAGACCGCTTGCACACCATGTTCCTTGCTATGGCTGATGCAAGGGCTGTCCTCATTAAATTAGCAGATCGTCTGCACAATATGATAACTTTAGATGCATTGCCTCTGATCAAGCAGCATAGGTTTGCAAAGGAGACCATGGAGATTTTCGTTCCTTTAGCTAATCGCCTCGGAATCTACAGTTGGAAGGAGCAGCTAGAAAACCTCTGTTTTAAGCATTTAAACTTGGAACAGCACAATGATTTGTCCTCGAAACTGATGGGATTGTATGATGAAGAAATTATACATTCTGCAATTGAAAAAATAGAGCGAGCTCTCAAGGATAAGGGAACCTCTTACCATGCTGTAACTGGACGGCACAAAAGTGTCTACAGCTTACACCGAAAAATGTTGAAGTATGCATTCGGCCTTCCATTTCTCTCTTATTCTCTTCATTTCAGCAGTGTATTATTTTCTGCCTGTCTTGTTCTTAAGAGTGATTTTAGGTAAATTTGAATTTGCTTTGTAGGAAGAATTTGACCATGAATGAAATCCATGATATTCATGGATTGAGACTCATTGTTGAAAATGAAGAGGATTGCTATGAAGCATTGAAAATCGTTCATCAGTTATGGCCGGAAGTACAGGGAAAGCTCAAGGACTACATAAGTAAACCAAAGTTGAACGGGTATTTCTGTAAAAGCAGTATCAGGTGCTTTATACTCTATATTTCTCCTCATATATCATTTGATCGTCAACAGGTATCAATCTATACACACAGTAGTAAGGGGTGAAGGTGACGTCCCACTTGAGGTTCAAATTCGAACCAAGGAGATGCATTTGCAAGCTGAGTTTGGGTTTGCTGCTCATTGGAGGTACAAGGAGGGTGATTCTAAGCACTCTTCATTTGTGCTTCAGATGGTGGAATGGGCTAGATGGGTTCTCACTTGGCATTGTGAAACTATGACCAAAGATCGATCTTCAATCAATTCTGTAAAATCAACCTGCAAGTTCCCTTTTCACTCTTCTGACTGCTCCTACTCTTACAAACCTCACTGCTTCCAGGATGGGCCTTTGTTTGTCATTATGATTGAAAACGAAAAGGTCCATGCTTATTGCTCTACTTGTTTCTGTTAAGTTTGTTATCTATCTCTGGTGCGAGAGTGCAGCTTTTAACAATTGGAAAAGGCTTTGTTTTTGTTATATCCAGATGTCGGTCCAGGAATTCCCAGCGAATGCAACGATGATAGATCTCTTAGAAAGAGCAGGGAGAGGAAGCACAAGATGGGCTCACTATAGGTTCCCAGTAAAGGAAGAGTTGAGACCTAGACTGAACCAGGAGCCTGTGAGCGACCCCAAGTGCAAGCTGAAGATGGGCGATGTGGTGGAATTGACCCCACCGATACCTGATACGTCGTTGATCGAGTACCGGGAAGAAATCCAGCGAATGTATGAGAGAGGCTTCACCGTAGCAACTCCACAGCCTGCCGGTTGGATGAGCTAACAGTGGCTTCGTTGCCCGTTTTCTATGCTTGCACTATAAATATCATGCTTCTATTATGGATCAGATTCTCTTGTAGCTTCTATTATGGATCAGACTCTCTTGTAGATAAATATAAATATTTGTACATGTCTGCTATTTGAGATGCAATGTGAACGGGTTTCAAACTGTTAATATATACATATACTTTAGCTTGCTACTCTCTGTACTAATTTCTAGCCTTGGTTATGTTTTATAATTGAAGTGTCCTTTTAAAGGTAAGTAATCATAACCAGTTCATTTCACTAACGCATATTTTCCAATCCTTGCCAATATAGCAAGTCCCGGTGAGGGCTGCCAATTCTAAGAACCCATGAAGGATTCTGCAACGCAGACATGGATAAGCAAGAGGAAGATATTTTAATGGCAATTACAAGCCCCAAAAGAACCAACGGAAGAACAAACCCAGAGCTCCAAATATGATGTCAGAATTCCCTTTCAGGCTCTACCCCAATGTCTTCTCCTTCTATTCCTCTCATTTCTCATTTTCCCATATCTCATTTCTTCTACATCTCATCCGTTCTCTCGCCATTTCAATACTCAAAACAGCAGGGGTGGAGCTCTACTTCAGGCTCTGCAACTTGTCGCCATGCAGCATTTGGATTGGCAATGACACCAAAATGCAATTTTGGACGTCCAAAAAGCACAAACCCAAAAAAGCCTTGTTTTGTTCGCTCCGGTGGGAACTCCAAATGGCAATTCTTTTTACAAGTTAGAGACCTGTCCAACAAATGCTTC